CTAGTAGGGGCGTCAGGTGCTGACAGGAGTCCCTACCTGAGTTCCAAGGAATTCTTGGCCTCTCCCCTCTGCCACTTTATCCTCTCTCTCCTGCCTCAGGCAATGGGGAGAAAGCAGGCAAGCTATCCCAGCAGACCAGGTCCCATGCAAGGACAAAGGGTCTCGGAACCGGTGACCCTCACTTCCCTCACCCACACTCCCTGCTGGATGTGGGGAAGCCCCAGGCGCTCTGCCTCCTGGGTGTCCTGGCTCATTGCTCCCTGGGCATGGGAGGTACCAGTGTTGGAGCTGTTGGCATAATGACCAGCCGGGCTGAGCCCAGAGCCGTGGGCCAGGCTGGGCTGCGCACCCTCAGGCTGCCCAAGCCAAGCAAAGGAAGACTGATGGTGGGCTGGGCTGGCCCCGGGAAAGGGCTAGCCCAGATGGTACTGCCCCCCACCTCAGGGCCTCCTGCACTCCCAGGGCACCTCCCACATGCCCCTTCTCCCCCACCCTGAGCCCAGGACCTCCGAGAACAAAGGGGATGCCTCCAGCATAACCAGGGCTGAATGGGGCTGGGCTGGGACCCAGGTCAGGAACAGGGAGGGGACAGCCCACTGGGCCTGGCCCCACCCCTCCCCAAAGTGGAAGCCACCTGGAGGGACACATCTGGGCGGGGAGGCTCGGCCACCTCACAAGAGGGTGGGGAGGCAGAACAGGATGCTCCCTCCTCACCTCCCTTTTCTCAGCTGGTTCCCACCTCCCACCGGCTGCCTAAGAATGAAAAGTGGGGCAGGAGGAGGTGAGAAACCGGGGCTGAAGACAGACAAAGGGAGGCCCCTAAAGGGTTCCTGAGTCCTCCACAACCCCAACTCCCTCGCCTGCACTCTCCCACCCCCAACTCCCCTTTCCTCCCTCTCCAGGGGCCAAAGCAGGAAAGGGGTTGCTCTTGTCAGGGGAGGGAGCTGGTGCCCAGGCTGAAGGCTGTGGAGAAAACTGGTCCCAGACTGGCATCCACCAGTGAGCCGCCAGTTCCCAGTGCTGGCCAGGGCTGCCTGGGGGTATCTGGGATCCGTGGAGAGGTGCAGCCACCCGCTGAGCAAGGGGCTTACCCTCCAGGATGAATAGTGCTCAGAACGGGAGGGGGCATGGGGCGGGGGGTGGGGGGCAAGCAGGACTGGGACCCTAGCGGGTCCGCCCTCCACAGCTCCGGCGTCCCAGCTAGCCAACATGGAATTTGGTGGGGTGGGAGGAACGGGAAAGGAAGAATCTTCATTTCTGAGGCTTGAGGAGGGTGCGACCCCAAAGGGAAATCTGGGTGGCGCTGGGGTGCCCCGCAGCCCCAGGAGGGCGCAGCCGGGCCAACGGCGGCCCCCACGGGAGCTCGCCGCGGGGCTGCCCGTGCGGGGCTGCCGCTCGGGGCTGCCCGCTCGGGGCTGGGCCGCGGCCGCCGGGCTCACCTGCATCTCGGGCGCACCGTCCGTCCGCTCGGCTCGGTCACCAATCGCATGTCTCCCCCGCTGGGCTTCAGCCCCTGCCCAGCCCCCTCCTCCGTCTCCTCCTCCTCGTCCGACACCTCCGCCCGGCAGTCCGCGCGCCCTCGCGGGGCTGTCTGTCCGTCTGTCTGCCCCACGCGGGTGGGAGCCGAGCCGGGGCCGGGGCAAGGGCGCGGGAGTGGGGAGGTGGGAGGCCGCGGCCCCGGCAGGCGGAGGGGCGGGAGCGCTCAGGACGCGCGACGTGGACTCGGCGAGCCTGCTTCTGCGCCCCGAGCCGACCTGGAGCCGCCGCCGCCGCCTCTGCCGCTGGGGCCGGGGTCGAGGCCGGGCGCGCTCCGCAGTGGGGCCGGGGCCAGGGCTGAGGCCGGCAGGCAGCGGCCCCGCATGCTGCTCGGAGCCCCGCGACGGGAGAGGGGCCGGAGCGGCGCGGGTGGGGACTCCGCGCGCTCCGGGGCCGGGGCCGGGACCCGCCGCCGCTGCCGCCTGCGCTGTCGCCGGTCGCCCGCTCCGGCTCCCGCACCGGCTCCCGCCCGGGCTCCGCGCTCTGCCGCGGCGCGGGGAGGGAGCGCGAGGAGCGAGGAGCGAGCCGGGGAGGGAGGAGGGACCGAGGGAGGGAGGGAGGGAGCGAGGAGCGGCGGGAGCCGGGCGGGGGAGGAGAAGGCGCGGCCGCAAAACCAAGAAGGGGGGAGGTGGGGCGGGGGGCTCGTCTTCTTTCAGCGGAGGGGGCGGAGAGCGAGGAGCGCCCCAACCACTGCCCTGCACCGATGAGGCAGCGAAACTGTCAGAGGGGACGCTGGCGAGGGGCGCGCCAGGCTAGCGCCTGAGCCGGCGCCCCGGAGCGCCAGCCCCGCACCGGCCGCGCCCCTCCGAGTCCCGGGCTCTGGGCGAATCCCGGGCTAGGCCGACCCAGGGGAGTCCGGACTACGGTCCTCCCTGAGTGTGCACGCACCCTCTTGTGTGGCCACATGCGTGTGCATGTGAGCGCGTGAATGTATTCACACGTGTTAACCAGGGTCACTGCACACTGCCGTGTGGACGGACACACGCACGTGAACGGGCAAGGCTCCCCACCCAGCCAGGGTTGTTTAGAGGACGGCGTGGGAAGGGTCAGGCCCGGAGCCTCTGTCCTGTCCCTCGTCTCCAAATGTCCGCGAATCTCTGTAGGGCCCACACCCTGGCGGCCTTGGGGCCAGGCAGGCAGAGAGGGCAGCTCCGGGGGGACCGAGAGGAAGGCGCGCCAGCTCCACGGCTTTACCCCAAGCGGGGTCTTCACCGGCCCTTTGCAGCCCGGATCCCCGCCCAACCCGGCTTCCTGTCCAGCAGAGGGCAGCAGGTCGCTATGGCCGGCTCCGGCCACGGACACGGCACCCACACACCAGCAGAGGGCAGTGAAGAGCCTCAGTCTGGGTATGGCTGTCCCTCACTTTGATCCCAGTGATCCAGAGGATTCTGGGCTAAGGCCACACACTCAGATGGGCCTAGAGAAGGGGACCTCTCCTCAGAGAGCCAGATCCTCCTTGATCAGCAGATGCGGAAGATCAACTGTCTTGGCAGTCTGCAGAGTGGACTACCACCCTTAGGATCTCACCTCCTTCTACGTCCCCTCCATCTCCTTGAAGCCAGATGCCCTTTAACACTAAGTTAATTTGATTAGAATAACCATCAATGCTCACACCACCTGGCACATTCCACCCTTCTCCACTACTGAGAGTGCATCCCATTAGCACATTAGTGCCCCTGACACCGTGAGCCCACAGGGGTAGGGGTTCTGGCAGGTGGAGAAGGAAACTGAGGCTGGCGAAGAGGAGACTGGCCCAAGGCCTCTCAGTCTCTGAGACAAACCCCGGGATCCTGCTGCCAGTGTCCCCCTCCCCCAGCAGAGCCTGCCTGACATTCATTGCAGATACCTGACTGGCATGGTGGGGTTCCCAGTCTCCCCTGACCCCCAACACCATCTCCCATTCTCCACTGTTCAGCCTCACACGCACAGCCCAAAGAGTTGCACAGACCTTCTGTTCCAGCTAAATAGATTCCGGGTACTTCTCAGTCTCACTGCCACACCACTGGTCTGGACAGTCCTGCCTGAAAAACCGTCCCGTGTCCATTCTTATCCTAGGCCTAGCTGGAGCCCCTCCTAGCAGGTGCGGATGCTGTGCGCTCTCCCTTCATCCTCCAACAAACCTTTGAGGAGGCGCTGTTGTTCCCCCGGGACGGAAAGAAGGAAGCCCAGGCTCAGAGAGATTACATGCCTTGCCCACGGTCACACAGCGAGTAGAGCCTGGAATGGGAATTTGAATCGCCTTCCAGGGCTGAGTAAACCAGTAGGGGGCAGGCTTGGCAGAGGGACTTACAGGTGGGCGGGGAAGAGGGGAGGCGGCACAGGTGTCCTCGTCTCTTTCAAGAGCCCGGCGCAGGCGGCTCCCTGGTCCCTCAACTCTCTGCTGCCTGGACCCCCTTCCCAGACTCCCAGCTCCCCCACCCCGGCTGCTGGTGAGTTACCCGTGAGCTCCCGCCCTCCCGCACCGCCTCCTCCCACCAGCCCGACAGGAATAGACGCTCTCTAGCTGCTGCGTAAAGGCTCCGCCAGGCGCCCGGCGGGCGCGCAGACCCGCTGGGGGGCGGGGGCGGGGGCGGGGGCTATTCCTGGTGCGGCGACTGACGCAGGCACAGCGCGGCCACGGCATCTCCGCCCCCGACTCACCTGCTGCCAGCCTCAGTGATCTCGGAGGAGAAATGGGGGAGAGCCCACTGCCCCCACCCCCAAGCCCCAGATGCTGGCTAAGGAAGTCGGCATCCGGGGGTGGGGCCTTCTGGGGCCCACCATTCTCCCTCCGCGCCTTGAGGCAGCAGGGGTGACCAAAGAGCCTTGTCTGGAACTGCGCTGCAGCCCTATTTTCTCCATTATACACAGTATCCGGGCCATTCCCCCTTGCCTGTCTCTCCAAAAGAAATGACTCCCTCTCTTACTTCACCAGTGGAAACAATGGGGTGGGGGAGGAAATGGGGGAAGAACTTGGAGAAAAGGCCTTTTTGAGGGTCCAGCCTGGGCCTGGTGAGAGTGCAGGCTGCTGGCCTTGTCACTCAAAGACCCCATAGAAGGGTGGGAGGCCTGTCACTGGGTCCTCACCCAGTCAGATGTCTCTGCATGAGCTGTGGAACAGGCATCTCTCAGCTCCTGCTGGTGGGGTGGTCCCCAGCAGAGCCCTCTCAGGGATCCCAGGGCCATGGAGAGTGTGAAACATTGGAGTGGCCTGGCCCAGGGCTTAACTGACACAACCAGGGGATTATAGGCTGGAGCTACAGCTGAAGAATGTTCCCACACTTTCAAGCCTTAGTCCTTGCTGATCCACCTGCTTGGTGTGCCCTCTGCCTGGTTTCCACCCGAGCTTCAAGACCAAACTGAGACCATTCTCTTCTATTCCTGTCTCCCCTTCCCAAACTAAAATGGCCTTAGAAGCAAGGCCCCAGTCTCCTCTCTCTCTCTGTCCTCAGACTAGGAGCTCCCAAGAGCAGACCTCAACCTACCTGTCTCACGGGTGGGCACATAGCAGATCCTGGCTTCAGAGTGAAAATTCAGCAAGTCCCAATAGAGCAGGAGCTGATGGCCAGAAGAAGCCAGCCTGCAGTGGCCTGAGTGAGAACAGCAAAGCAGAGAAACTGGAGCGGGTCTGCCAGAGGACTCTGGAGGAGGGGACAGGGCCCTCGAACCTTTACTCAGCCCCTACTGTAAGCCAGGCTCTGAGCTATACTTGACATACTTTGCCCTTCAAGACTGGTATTGCTATCCCTACTGTACAGATGAAAAACTGAGGCTCTGGGGAGGGCTGGTATCTTGCCCAAGTTCACTGTATAAGAGGCAGAGCTGGGCTTTGAAGCTCAGTGTGTGTCTGATTCACAGCGCAAGTGCTGCGCTCCCCCCCCCCCCCCCGCCCTGGGCGGCTGAGGATGCAGGAAGAGGGGCCAGTCCCCCAGGGCCCAGGAAGGAATGGGTGGCACAGCCAGGCCTGCCTGTATGCCTGCTCCATGCTGGTCCTGCCCGCTTGCAGCCCAGCAGCCCGCGGGCTTTTACGATGATGAGTATTTCTGAGCCACTTGAAATTAATGACAGCTCTAAAATGGCTGGGACAGTGGAGTCATTGCTGAGACCTCTAATTAGCAAGAAAAACGGAGACCAGGGGCAGGGGGGGGGCGTGGGGGGGCTGGACAGGCAGCACAGGGCATGGAGCAGGGTTAGGGAGCAGGTTGGAGCCAGGATCTAGTGGGAGTTCCCTGTGGAGCTAGTGGACCCCATGTCCCAATGTATACCACAAATTTGATTCTGAGTGCTCTAAATAACTTGCTGTGTGACCTTGAGGGGCTGCCAATGCTCCCTGGATGAAAGCTGCCCCAGCTAGGCAATGAGGGGATGGTAGGGGTGGGGAGGTGGTGTCTCTGTGGCCCCACCTAGATAGTGGGGTGAATGGGATGCGGCCTCAAGAGGGGGCTCCTTCCAGGATTCTGAGTTCCTAGGAGACTGAAGCCCAGGAGCTGCGGGCACTGCAGGCCCCCAGGGGTAGCAGAAGCCCCACACTCACCTCTGGCTATGGCAGGCCTCTATGCTGGGGTTGCTGAGGCCACGGGTATAATGAAGTCAGAAAGACTCGGCTGGAGTGAAGTGGATCAGGACGTGGCAGAAAATCCATAGGTCAGGGCCCTGCACTGGTGCAGCTGTGGAGGGGGGCAGGAGATGGGGGGCATCTGAAGGGGCTGGCAGAGAAGTCCCTCTACGAGGGGGGCCTGGAGCTGTGGCCAGGGTTAGGACCTTCCTGCCCCCTCAGAAGCCCCTCCCTGAGCCAGATGCCAGGGTCCCAGTGAGGCATGTTATAGAGGGTCGGGTCCAGGTACCTGCAAAGGAAAAGACACTCATCCGGGTGCACCCCAGCTCCTGGCCTCCAAGTCCTGCATGGGGCAGCCAGCCCCAGGGAAGGGCACCGGGGCTCAGCTCAAAGGGACTCTGCACATAGCACATGCGGAGATGTGCTGATCATAATGGAGGGACACCCACTGTGGCCAAGGCTGAGGCCAAGACTCCCAAGGGCAGAGGTGCAGAAAGCCACCATCACTTCCTTGGGGTATCCTCTTCCCTGGCAGCCCTCCACCAAGCATGTCTTGTCACTGATAGCTTTCTCAGACTCTCAACTCATTTCCTCCCACCTTTCCCCCTCTTCCCTTTCAATTCAGGGCTCTGTGTGGCCCCCTCCTTCCAGAAGCCTACTCTGAGCACCTCAGTCTCCTGCTCTGTATCTTGGGTACCTCTCTGGGCTTCAGTTTCCTCCTTTGGAAGAAGATAGAATATCAGTAGAACACATTTCATGGGGGATGGTGTGAAGATCTCATGACTTCATTCAGTACTTGATGCTGGGCCTGGCACACAGTGGGTGCTTGATAAGTGTAGACACAAAGTAGGTGCTTGATGAATGGTTATTATACTGTTATGGTTTCTCTCTGTTCCCTGGCCCCCCAGCCCCTCCTCTGTAAATACAGGGGTTGACCCTAAGGTTCCTTTCAGCGTTCGCACTAGGAGAAGCCTCGACCAAGTTCTTCGGCCTCTGAGAATCAGGAACACCCTCAAGGCAGGGATTGATCTTGTGTCTCCTCCAGTTTCTGCAGAGAGCCCAGAGCCCTGATTCCAGAGGGGCTGATGTGTGCAAATTAAACTCAACTGAAATCCACTAATCAGGAAGGACCAGTAGTTTCCCTTCCCAGAGGAGCGGGGGGTGCCAGGGCATGGGGACAGGGACACTCAAGTCCTCGACTCTCACTTCCCCTTATCTTGGGGCCTTGGTCACCCACGCCTCCACTGGAAATGTTCCAGCATCCGTGACATTCACTTATCTAGCAGCAATGTAGGCAGCAGCCTCCACTACTTGGAATCACACTGAGAACTGGGGGAAACCAAAAGGCTCCTGGAGGACCCAGGGCAGGAGCCCTGCAGAGACATAAAGCCTGGGGAATGGCCCTTACTCAGCCTGGCCACACAGCCCTGCTGGGTTGGGTGCCTGGTTGCTGTATCCATAAGAGCTGAGAAACAGGAAATTTGTCTGGGGCCAGTGAAGGGGCTCATCAGCCCTGCCCACCCCAAAGTCCCTCCTGATGTTCCTGACCTTGCAGTTAAAACACAAGAAGTGTGCACTCCATAAAAACAAAAAGATCCGCCCCTGAAAATTACAAAAACACCCAAATGATTAAATTGAGAACAAAAACAAAAAAGCAAATATAAAAAGCAGTTTGTAAAAAGAGACCACTCCCTGGCTCTTTGGGAATCTGGGCTCCAGGCTTGGCAGAGCAGCTTCTCCTGAGAGCCTGGGCTCGGCTGTCCCCACGGATCATGTCAGGGGGCACTTGAGCTAATGTGTGCAAACAGGCAGCACTATTAGCAAATCCATTCATTAAGCGCTTGTCTTGAGTTCCGTTGTGCAGCAGTCTTATTTATTAACTTAAGTCGGAACCTGTTATTAAGTCAAAGGCAGCGGGTAGCGGCTCAGAAGATGTCTAGCCTTAGAGCCGAGCAGTCCTGAGTTCCAGTTCTGGCTCTATCTCTAACCGCTGTGTGACCCTGAGAAAGTCACTTCACCTCTCTGAGCCTCAGTTGTCCTGTGATAGGCAGCTCCCTAAGATGACTCCCAATGGTCCCTACCTTCTGGCATCTCCCCTACTGCGTTCAATCCCCTCCCCTTGAGTGTGGGCTGGACTAATGGAGTCACTTCTAATGAAGAGAATCTGATAGGGTATCCCTTCTGAGATTAGGTTACGGAGAGACTAGCTTTCATCTTGGGTACCCTCTCTCCATCACTTGCTTATTTGCTATGACACATAGCATATGCCATATTATTAGCTGCCCTGTTGAGAAGCCCACATGGAAGGGAACTGATGTCTAACCAGCACCCCCACGAAGTCCTGAGACCTACCAATACCCATACGAGCAAACGTGGACCCAGACCCTGCTCAATTCAAGCCTTGAATGACTGATGCTCTGGCTAACACCTGGACTGCAGCCTTGTGAGAGACCTGGAGCCTCCAGCTAAGGCCTCCACCTGAGCCTCACTTGGATTCCTGACCCACAGACCTGTAAGATAATACAAATTTGTTGTTTTAAGCCACTAAGTTTCAGGGTGATTCGTTATACAGCCACAGATAACTAACTCATACTCCATCCATGAGATGGGCAAAAGTGTCTTTCTCTCAATATGGCTGGGGGCATTGAGATAATGCAGGCAAAGTGCCTGTTGCTGGTCAGGGTGAGAAATGGCATAGCAAGTTGGCAGTTATCAAGTAAAGTTGAAAAGATGCACACTCTATAGTATATACCCTGGAGGAACATTCACGGAAGACAAGTACAGGAATGTTCACAAGTGTACACAGAGTTTGTACCAGTGGGGAACTGGAAACACCCTACATGCACATCACTAGAACGGTGTCTAATCATACAGTGGAATACTACGCAGCCCTGAAGATGGACACACTGGAGCTCCACACACCAGCTGGGTGATCTCACAAACACAAGGTCAAGAAAAAAAAAGCCAAAGATATGTATAAGATGATACCACCTATATAAGGTTTAAAAGCAAGCCCCAAACATTATAAGTTGTGTATAGATACCCATATATATAGGCAAAGTCTAAAAACATGCATAAAAATGACCTATACTGGTTCCAGGGGAGTGTTCCCACTGGAGAGAGAGGAAGGGGGAGTGGTAGAGGCAGGCCCACCCAGAACCCCACACTCTGAGGTGCTCACTGTGAGCAGGCTTGGTGGTCCTAAGCAACACATTTTATCCTCTCAACAGTCCCATGGGTCTATTCTATTATTCTCTCTTCTTATAGAGGAGGACTTTGAGGCACAGGGTCTCCAGGGAGACCTTCCCAGGCCTTCAAGTCCAGTGGGAGGCCAGGGCTTGGTTCCTCACTCTGCCATCCCCTTGGGGGAGGAGGCCACATTACCTCCCTGGCCCCCGTCTATTCTTCTGTAGCACAGGAGAGACTGGTCCTCTTCCCCCTTCCTGGGTGTGGATTGAGATGCTGGGAGTCTTGATTCATCAATCTGGAGTATTTACAAGGCCAAGCCTAGGGCCACACAAGGAGGTGTGGACAAGAGAAGGTGTGAATAAGAGGATTCAATTCAACACAATTCAGTTCAATTCATCGACTCATTTCCCAGACAGACAAGGGTTGAGGTTAAGGAGTATTGTTTGAGCACTTATGACACACTTGGCTTTGCATTTGGTGCTTTTATAAATCATGTCGCATAAGCCTCAACCCCACCCAGCAAAGCAGGGACAGTTATTATCTCCATGTGCCCCCTTCCATGTCCAATGTGGCCAACGAACAAATGACCAGCAACTTCCCCAGGTCACACAGCAGAGCTGAGATTATCACAATTGGCTCTCCTTCCATCCTGACCTGCCCTCTGTTTGGTGCTGGGGGCAGAGATGGAGGGCCCAGGCTTTGCTGTCCTTCGGGGGATTCCAACCCAGCCGAGGAGGATCTGGAGGAGTTTCAAGGAGGAGGAGGTGTGTGGTGGGAGCAACCAAGATGGGTTTCCTGGAGTGGAAGGGGCAGGTGTTTCAGTGGGCTCACTGGTGGTGAGGGAGGCGGGGGATCCATCCATCCATCTACCCATCCATTCACTCCTTCACTCAACAAACATTCAAAATAGCTTTCTCTGTGCCCCCAAAGAGCCCACGGTCTAGCGTGCAAGACTTAATGCAGTGTGATGCAGGCGGAGAAGAGGAGAGTGTGGGGAGATGCACACACACAGGAGTCAGGATGGATCACTGGGAGGTGGTGGTGGCTGAGCTGAAATCCAGAGGCTAAGTAGGAGTCAACCAGCTGTACAGAGGGTGGGGGATGGTGTCCAAGCAGAGAGAATGGCAAGTGCAGAGGCCTGACCCCGGGATGGTGGGGATAGACAGCTGGTCCTCGGGAAGGCCAGAGCTGGCCCAGGTGGTTCCAGCTTCCCCAAGAGGGGGCATGGAGCTGAGGCTGCCACAGTCTGTCTCCCAGGTACAGTGCCTGCCTGCTGCATCCTCCAGCCAACTGGACCCCCGTGCTGGCTCAGCCCTGTTGGGCAGGCCGGGCCCTGCTCCAGAGGGACTAAGAGCAGGGGAGTTCGAACCATCACGATGCATGTAATTATGTGCAAAAATGAAGGCTAGCTCCTTAATAATTGATGGTGGGAGAGAGTAAACATCAGCAGAGGCACCCGGCTGCATCGCCCCGTCCCGTCTGGCTGGGACCCATGGCGGCCGCCTGGCCACTAATATGCCCATAAATTATTGAAGTTATAAAAAAGAAAGCAGGTGTCATGTCGCACCCATAAACAGCTTGTTAGCTAAGACTAACAAAGGGGCGGCTGGCCGCCAGGCAAGGCATGGGCTCCCCAACACCCTGCCTGCTTGCAGAGAGAGATGGATGAGGGTGGGTGAGGCGAGGGCCTGAGAGGCTGGCTGGCCCCGCTCGCCGCCCCCTCCCTCCTCCTGACCCCCTGGGGAGTCAGGTGGTACTGAGCAGATCCACTGACTCGAGGAGCCAGCACCGGACCCACGAACTCTCCCTCACTGCGGTGTGCACGCAGACGCCGGACAAACCGGCATGGAGGGCGCTAGGGAGCCCAGAGAGCTCTGAGGCCAGGGCTGCGGAGAACCGGGGACTGGGCCCAGATACACGTGG